AGCCATGAAAATAGGAAAAAGCCACGCTTTTTTGATGACTCCAGCTATTTATGTAGGGATTGTGAAAGGGAAATGGTTGCAAGAATACCCTTAACTTAATTAAACATTATTCAAACGGGGAAATTAGGATATTTCTATTTGTTAAAAAATATGATGCCATTTAGACTATAGGGAACTTTTGGGATATTCTTAATGAGTATATTTCTATAAATTATTACCCGCTAAAAATCTTGAATATTAATGGAATCTTGAATATTATTGACTCTCAGTGAAAGAATGACTTCCTACGTCTTAAAATTAATAAGCAAACTTAATTTTAAGCTCATAATTTAATATAGAAAGACAATTGAATTAGAAAATAAAGTAAAACAAAAAAAAATAATGAAAAAAGTAAAGATCTTTTTCAGGATACATTTCTTTGCATAGTGATATTTCGAAATAAAGAATAATTATCCCAAGATAAAAATTATTCTTTATAATGAATCTATATCACTAAAAAATAAAAATGCTTTAAAAATATATAGACAGTTAACAAAAATTCGCTAAGAAGAAAAAAATAAAATTGTTCTTATAGTTATACTCTAAGCTCGCAAGTTATACTCTAAGTGTATCAAATAAAATAATTCTTAAAAAATATATTTGGGAAAAATATGAAATTTATTATATTTCAGTGCTGCCATCTATGAAATAAATACTTTGATAATATTAATTGGAAAATTTAACCAACGAAACCCATAATAGGAAAAAAAATTTATAAAAACTATATAATATATATATTCTTCGGCCTCGAAAAATGCTCAACCACCAATACTGTTATGACCATGCTCGGCCCCAATAATGTTGATGTTTGAAATTACTATAGCTATTTTTGAAAGGATCAAAAATAAATCTATATAATTAAATCGAGACAAAATTTTTATTTTTATAAAAATGCTAAATTATTTTAAATAAATACTTAGAGTATAACTTGCTGTTCAATGCTATTTAAATTATTACTTAAGAAAACTTAACAAAATGAATCTAAATAATTGCTATATGTAAAACTAATTTTTTAACACTACTGAAAGAATTACTCAACACAACCTAACAAAATTTATCATAACTATAGTGTGACCAATGGAGAGAGAAATTCCTAGAGGACTATCTTGAATTGACCGCGAGCAGTAGCATCATGCCAAGGATGCTGAATACAGTTAATCTCAATTCTGATGGGATGAACTACAAAAAACGTGTTTTGCTTAATTTAATAAAGTTGAGTAACCGGGAAGGGCAACAAATAATCTACATTGTATATTGTATGTATTTTGTATATATACAATAAAATAAATAATTTATGTGTGTATCTTTATACAAAAATTGCGAGTTTTGCGTAAGCTCCTGAAGTACGACGCTTAACATGAAGCTAAATAAGTGCAATTGGGTATAATATAGCCTACGTCACAGGTTGTGTTGTTCCTACTAAATTTAACCCATGAACGTCATTTTCTGCGAGCCTAACTTCAAGCCACAAATAAACAAACGAAGTGTTCGATCGTTTAAATAGCTGCTCGCCAGATTTTATTGCATTATAAAGAAAAGTTATTGAAACTAAATACAACTAAATAAACAACAA